ATATATTTATATTTCAACTGTTTTTTATTCTACTTGCCACCTGATTTTTTGTGTTTCCAGCAAAAGGAAGCCAAGCTTTTCACATTACATTAATGTAGTTGTAATGACAGGCATTTCTGATGTCATAACTGGTTTAAAATTCCAGTAATCCATTTGAAATAGTTAAATAAAATCCGTGTGTTCCATTGAAATGGCTGAAGTCAGAACTTTCGTTATTGATCTCGCAGAAAGTAGTCTTGAGGGCAAAAATGTGAGTCAAATCAAAATAACTATTAGCGTCATCAAAGGGACACAAATGTCTCACTGTACCTTAATGCAGGAGATGAGAGCATTTTCATAATGTATGCATCCAGTTGTGAATTTCATCAGCTGAGGACCCTCGTCATAGAAATAGGGAACTGCACACCCTGCACAGAGAAAGGCTGTCCTCTGATTGCTCGTCAGCTTCTTGTTGCAGACTTGTTCCTGCTGCTGCTGGAGCAAAGGGCTTGTTTGGGTTAGGAAGGCCACCCGCGAACAACTGATACCAGCGTGCGCGGTCTTGGGGGAATGTGTTCTTACAAAACACTGCAGATAAATAAAGGTCAAAAATAGACCATATAAATTTCAACTTATTTTGAATTTCTTAACGATCTCAAATTTGATTTGTAGTTGAGTTTGTAAGCGTATATTAACTGCAGAGAACATCCTGCTTCTGTTCGTAGGAGACGACAGAACGTTCTGTGTTTTCCTTTTAAGGGACATCAGAATCAGGAAGAGTGTAGTAGACTATATATTTAAAAGCAGAAGGCTAGAAACTTCAGCATTCAAGAAATACCTCTAAGTGATCCTTAGCTTCTCCTCCTTTATTTTTATTTTATTTTATTTTGCCAAGTAGAGGAATGGGGAAATTACAAGTATTCAGATACTTTCCAGGTTTTCAGTGGAAATAACACTTTATCGCAGGCACAAATGTATTGTGAATAAACTGAATAGACATTATTTGTCCATTTGGGTAATTGTGAGCTTTGAGCAAAAAATTGAGGGAAAATAAAATCATTTTGGGCAAAAATGTTCAGATGTGAAGATTATGTTGTAGTATTGGAGCTTCTTGAAGGTTTGGGTGGTTATGATTCCAAACAGATTGCTAGAGCCAGGCTGCTTTGCGGGGCTTCAGCTTTTATGGTAGTTCATAATCCAGTTTTCCATCTGTCATGACCTTTTCCTGGTCCCCGCAATATGTGGGGAAATAGCATCTAGGCTATCTGCAGGATAGGATGGGTAGGTGGGAGGTGCTGTCAAACTTCACAATATCACTTACAAATTGACGTTTCCAGATTATTTTTTTTCCTCAAATTTGGTGTCTTGGTCTGGGGAGGCAAGAAACCTGGGCACAAGGTTGAGGAGCTGGAGAGAATCTACAGCAGAGGTGGGAACCTTGAGCTGCCTGAAGTAGGAGAGCAGCAGCTAGAGGTTCCATGGGGCCCTTTGTCCCATCTGGGGTAGCCCGTCTGGTCAGAGAAACAGGCAGGGATGGTGGATAAAGAGGGAGAGAATGAAGGGATTTTTTTTTAGAGAAATTAGGCAAATTAAATTGGGTTATCTAATTCATAATTGAATGATTGATGAAGAGGAGTTTATTTCTGTCTTGTGTATGGATAGGAAATGGGGTTTTGGTAGGTTTTGCTGCAAATTGGCTGAAGAATACCAAGAGCCTGACTTATGCAAGAGCTGAATAGATCCCAGAGGCACTAACTGGGAAACACTGGGAGGAGAGATTTCACATGGAAATACTTTACGTAATTATACTGTGCAACAAAACCAGGTAGAAATAGGACAAAGAAGAGATGGTCTGAGTCAGAGGCAGGAGACAGGAGTAGAAGCAGATCAAGCAGATGAGGATGTGAATACATTTTGAGTGAAGATCTCTAGCATTTTGCGATTGCCAATAACTAGATCTTGGTAACTGAATGGCTGATCAGAGTGTGGCACTTAGGGGAGGATATTTCTCATTAAACAGCAGCTTTGCTGACCTTTCTGCATGCTAAGTCTAAAATGAGCAAAATTTCCAGTGCCAAAAGATCAACGTATATTGGTCAGACTCCTCAGAGCTAATTTAAAAACGCTAGTTTTTAAATGAATTTTTTTTCCCAAATTATCCTACATTGTATCTGTGTGTTTTCTAGGCAAGGGAAAGAAAATGTTAGAAAAAGTTATGTTATTTAAAATGTAACTACTGCTGATACTTTAATAAAGTTATATTTGAAGAAGAGCTATAAAATAGCCTAAAATCTCAACCGCAACTCCCCTCCTCAGTCCAAATATTTATAGGTTTGAACTGATGCTTAGGGTTAAAAATCAGAATTAATAATCTCCACTGGGATCCGTCAGCATTTCCAGACTTTGATAGAGCATAAAATGCTGAAATTAACTATCCAAACCTTCCTAAGCATGTAAAAGCACCAGTTCCCATTGAGGTCAAGTGAATAAATGAAATTTAGACTGCATTTTTGAAGCTGTTACATAATAATGGTAATGACAACCTAGAAAGACTTTACCAACCCCTCTTCAGTATATGTCTGCGTCTGTACATGTAAAGTGGATTGAATTCTGGGTGAACTCCTGTGGATCCAGGAGTTGAACTCAATGGTTTCTATGGGTCATCTCCTACTCAGGATAGTCTATGATTCTGTTTTGTTTAACTGGCAAAGAGAGGCAACACTTGCAGTACGTGCAGTCTAGACAAAAAGTGCATTTCAATGTTGTTGGTGGAGATTTTTTATTTAAAGGAATTGAGTAGAGAGAGTTTGAAATGTCAGTCAACTTCAGGCAGTAGTAGACCTACACACTACAGCTCCTTTTGAATGTGCAATTTGGTTTGTTTCAAAAGTTAAGGAAGCTTGCAGAATGTTAAAAGAGTGTGTTTGTATGTACCCAAACAAAGTAAACTTGCATGAGAACCAGTAATTTTATTCATTTACTACGTGGGCTTGAGTGAACTCCTGACTTGACCACGTTTCCCTATCTTTGAAAATCAGACACTTTAAGCCAAACTTAAGTGCAGTTCTATAGCTTATGTGTATAAGCCTTTTACTTTGACATACTCTATCTCATTAATATTTTATAAATATTATTGATGGGTCCTGACACGACACCTGAAAGTGAAGTGTTGAAATCTTCAAAAAATCTGCTTACGTGTCATCAAAATTTTGTGGGTCATGTTCATCCTGAATACACGTGTGAATGTCTCTTTCCCCCTTTTTTCTTGCAAGATCTGCATTGGATCACATGACCTCATTCATCCTGTTGAGAACTAAATAGATCTTCTCTTGGAGACCATCCAAGCTTGTTTAAGGCCCTCATCCTGCAAAGACTTAAGCATGTGTAGAACTTTGCTTTCAGGAGTCATCCTGTGAAGTCCACTGGACTGCTCCCATAGGCACAATCACATACATTTAAGGTATATGCCAGATTTGAGCCTCCAGTTGTCTAGCAAATGACCACTATGAAGCAGCGAGAGGAACAGTGTCCACCTGGAGCATGGAAGGCAGAGTGAATAAGTGCTTTTGGGTAAAGCCCAACAGAAGTTTTCCAGATTAATTATTCAATAACATATAGATTTCAGTAATTTTACTAGTGAGTAATGTGTCATATGACTTCACTGAACAACACAGATCTTAATTATGTTCCAATATAACCTTACAGCTTCATATTTTTTGAGAGTTATTAATGTAAAACTTTTTATTTTAAATAGAATTTTACAGATACATTATTTCTTTGTAGCGTAGAGAAGTGGCAAAGATAGAAGATTATTGTGGACAATTATGCAGACCAGAACTGAGCACTTGTGTTTAACAAACAGCTTTGAATTCTAATTTTCTGCAGTATACATAGTATGGGTACAATTTGTAGTCATTACTGCGTATTAGGAAAGTTATTAAAATTCTTAAACTTGTTGAGGCTTTCCACAACACCTTCCCCAGATTTTAATTGGTTTTATCTAGTTCCATAAGAGAGCTCTTTAAAACAAATCAAAGTGCCTTAAATCATATGTTTTACCCATCGAAGGACAAAGATATTCCTCTATAATCTGGCAAGTTTTCGTAAGAAATGAAATCTGAAGGTTCTCAATGATGAGTTAAGAGACTTGGCAGCAGATAATTTATGTGCCTTTTGATGGGCTCAATTTCAAAATGACAAAATAACAATGTTTTGTAACAGAAGGGTTAAATCTTAATCTCAGAGGTTTACAAAGCTGCTAGTCGCAGTCTCCTTAAAATTTAATATACCTCGTTAATGCTTACTTGCAAACACTGAAGGATTTTTATGATTATAATCATGTGTTACAGCACCTAGTACTGTTTCTAAGCAGCATACTAATCAGCTTAATGAGATATTACTGCACTTTTTGTTGACTAAAGCAAAATCCCTTTTATTGTTCTAAAGCTTGTCCTTTACTTTATTTTTTCCCAAAACATTATCTTGTTTTATTGTACACCAGTAAATATCATACCATCGTTTTTTGTCAAATCATAAAACTATCTTTCTCATTGTAGAATGTGTAATATATAGAATATGGTTAATGGAACTGAAAGTTACAAATGGATTTCTATTTTTGTTGTTGTTGTGGGTTTTTTGCTGGCTTTTCTGAGGGAAATGGGAGAGATGCATAACATTTCTTTCAGTATAGATTTAGAAACGTAAACAGGTGCAATTTCACAGGAAGAAAGACAAGGGAGATGGTAAAAGCCCTCACCCCCTCCATAATAATTAGATTTTGAAATCATAGCATAATTTTAAATAGTAATTAATGTTTGTCAGTAAACATACAAAATGATGAAAGCACATACATGTTCACAATTGCATAGCATAGTTTGCATTTAACACACTTTTTATGGTTTTTACACTAATTCCTTTGCATTATTATGAGTAGGTAAAACAGAAAATGCGAATTGTGTGTCAGTGATTCAATGCTTGTAACTCTTTCACAGTCTGAATCTAAAATATCTTCTGATTTTCAGAGATGGAGGAAGCTAGTTTGTGCCTTGGTGTTTCTTCAGCTGTGCCAGAAGCTGACGCCCATCTCAACAGCACCATACTCAATGGGCAGTATTCAATGAGCCAGAAGCTGCACCAGATCACTTCCCAGCTCAGCCATGCTTTTCCGGAGCTCCAGAACAGGCAGAATCCAGAAGAGAAGGCATCAGCACCACTAGAAGACAAAAGCCACATGTCCATAGCAAACCAACCCATCAGCAGTCAGATGGCCCTGTTAGCAAACCAGCTCAACAGAGAGGTTGACACCAGTTTGAATGGGCGTGTGGATCTGCAGCAGTTCTTAAATGGACAAAACCTAGGGATTATGTCTCAGATGAGCGATATAGAGGATGATGCCAGGAAAAACAGAAAGTACCCGTGTCCCCTCTGTGGAAAGCGCTTTCGATTTAACAGCATCCTGTCGCTGCACATGCGCACTCATACTGGAGAGAAACCGTTTAAGTGTCCATACTGTGATCACAGAGCAGCTCAGAAAGGCAACCTGAAGATACACCTGCGTACTCATAAGCTTGGCAACCTCGGTAAAGGTCGTGGAAGAGTCCGAGAGGAAAACAGACTTTTACATGAGCTGGAGGAGAGAGCGATTCTTCGGGACAAGCAGATGAAGAGCAGCCTCTTGCAGCCACGACCTGATGTGAAAGCACAGCAGCATGCTCAGCCAATGCCTCTCACAAATTGCAACTTGTCTGTGCCAGCTAATCACAACACACCTGATATTTCAAACCCTGTTCCCTCTCCAAAGCCAGTCAGTGTCCAGGAAGAAGTTGTTGCTCAGACAGCTGGGTTCAGATGCACATTTTGCAAAGGCAAGTTTAAAAAGCGTGAAGAGCTGGACAGGCACATAAGGATCCTGCACAAGCCTTACAAGTGCACCCTGTGTGACTTTGCTGCCTCACAGGAAGAGGAGCTGATCAGCCACGTTGAGAAGGCTCACATAACCGCAGAGTCAGCGCAGGGCCAGGGCTCCAATGGGAATGGGGAGCAGTCCACCAATGAGTTCCGCTGCGAGGTGTGTGGCCAAGTGTTCAGCCAAGCCTGGTTCCTAAAAGGCCACATGAGGAAGCACAAGGATTCCTTTGAACACTGCTGTCAGATCTGCGGGCGGCGATTCAAAGAGCCTTGGTTCCTTAAAAATCACATGAAAGTTCACCTGAATAAGTTATCTGTCAAGAACAAATCTCCTAATGATCCCGAAGTACCTGTCTCCATCAGCAGTATGTCCCAGGAAGCTCATGCAAACTTGTATTCAAGATACCTGTCCTGTTTGCAGAGTGGGTTTCTTCCTCCTGACAAAGCGAGCTTAAGTGAACAAAATCAAATCTATAACAAAGGAGACATGCCCATGAAAGAGAAGGAAGTCTTGGGAAAGCTCCTTTCACCCATTTCTGGCATTGGCCACAGTATTGCTGAAGGGGATAAACACTCTTTATTGGGCTGTCTCAATCTGGTGCCTCCTCTGAAATCCAGCTGTATAGAAAGGTTACAAGCTGCCGCCAAAGCAGCGGAGATGGATCCAGTAAACAGCTATCAGGCCTGGCAGCTTATGGCAAGGGGAATGGCCATGGAACATGGCTTTTTGTCTAAAGAGCAGCAGATACAGCGCAGCCATGAAGACACTTTGGCAAATGCTGGAGTTATGTTTGATAAGGAGAAGCGGGAGTATGTGTTAGTAGGAGCAGATGGCTCTAAGCAGAAAATGCCTGCTGATTTGGTTCACAGCACTAAAATGGGCAATCAGAGAGACTTGCCAAACAAACTAGACCCTTTAGAAGGCAGTAGAGATTTTTTGTCACATGGTATGAACCAGGGACTCGATTACAACTTACAAAGTCATGGAAACGTGAAAGAAAAGCCAACTGAATGCCCGGATTGCGGGAGGGTTTTTAGAACGTACCACCAAGTGGTTGTGCACTCCAGGGTCCACAAAAGAGACAGGAAAGGAGAAGATGAAATAATCCAAGGGAGTCTTGATGAGCGTCGTGGATCTGGCAGCGATCAAGAGTCGCAGTCTGTCAGCAGGTCGACGACCCCAGGCTCCTCTAACATTACTGAAGAAAGCGGAGTAGGTGGGGGTCTCTCACAGACGGGGAGTGCCCAGGAGGACAGTCCACACCCTTCCTCGCCCTCCTCTTCAGGTATGATGACTTCTCCTTCCCTCTCTGCACTGAAAACGTAGTAGCTCTATTTGAAATCACAGCAGCAAAGTTGTTTATGCATTCTCTGGTTAGGTCGTTTTCTAATGGTCCACAGAGACGCGGTGTTATACGCCAGAACATCTGTGTTTGGGTTCCCTCAATGCCTTTGAGGTTAATTCTTGGCTCACCCTCTCACCCCTCCAAGGGCAGGTTTCCTAGTCTTTCAGCTGCCGTTTCAGCCATGCCACCGGCAGCAGCATATAGGGTCTGTACGTGCACCAAGTGGGAATGTCACAGCAAGGGCCTCTTCCCCCACATTTTGGAGGACTTTTTGTTTTCCTCTTCTGTTCATGGTGTCTCTCTTGCAGACCTTTCCCTTCCCACCACGTAAAAGGTGGAAGATAAATGCCTTCTTTCAGATCTTGGTCAGAGAAGTATGACTAATGAGGAGTGTGTTAGCTGACTTCTCTGATTTTCCTGATTCCCACAGTCGTATCACTTGCTTAGTTGAAATATTTGCTTGCACCTGGCTACCGGATTGATTAAGAGGAGATTCAGGAAATACAAAGCACTAACTTTTTGACAATCTTTTAACTTATGTGCGCATTTTAACACGTATGAAACCTTCTGCATAATTTGCATCTGATTCGAAGTGCAAGAAAAGTAGAAATTGAACTGAAACATTTTAATTGAACCGTATGTCTTGTTAACTTGCTGTGTATAAAATGGCAAAGCAGATAATATTTCTTTGGAGATGTCTATAAAATATTGAGCTTCCTGGTACAATTTTTAAAGTTACTAGCCTATGACTGCTGAAATAAAATCTCCAAGTAATAACAGGTAAGATTTCTGGCCTCATCTATATTTCCAAAGTCACTTACTAATGGATAGTAAATTGAAAGTTATATCTTCAGCCCTTTATAAAGAAAGCACCTCACTAATACTGTAATCATTCTGCAAGTCTAACAACAGAGGAAATCATGCCATAACAAATACTCTGTTACTAATGGCAACATTGATTTCTGCAATCAGCCATTAAGTCTGGAAAATGAAAGACAGTTTGAGGTACCTTAAGGCATTACGTTGCCCACTGTTAAAGAGCTGGTAGCAGGCTGTGGAGGGTAATTCTTTGTAGTTTTTTTCCCTCAGTTTCGATAAATATTTTAGTATTGGAGGCAATTCACTGTTACAGTTATTAAGTATGTGCCAGTTTATTTTTGTTGTTCTTGTCATGCTCCAGTATACTCTACTTCAGAGGCCAGATTAATATAAAAATAAAGCGTTAGTTTGCTGGCTTATTACAAACCAGTAAAGAAATTGTTAAGACACATAAATCTGCGCTCCGCATTCCACAGATTCCTATAGTACTTAATGCTGTTGTTTAAATACCCATGAAACACACTGTCTACTCTTAGAGTCATAGCCTCGTTTACAATTTATTACTGGTGAGACACATTAGAAAATTCTATGTAGGAACAAGAGGAAGAGGCGAGAGCTAATTTCATACTATATTTAGTTGTTCAGAGTGTTTTAAGAGGATTGAAAATATGTTGGGATGAAGATTATTTTTATGACTTTCACTTTTAAAAATCCTAGATGTTGGGGGGGGAGGGGGGAATAAAAATGCTTTTCTTCAGTACAGAAAGCATCACTTTTGTTTTGTGGTGCTGCAGAGGGAAACAAAGAGTCTTTAAATTGGTTAAGAGTTCAGTCCGAAGCCTTCCAGAGCTATCTAGAAAAGTTTGTAAAGAAGAGACTGAAGTCTGAGTGCGGGTGAACTGGTACAGATTGAAGGGGATTCAAAACAATGCGTGTGAAAGTTGGTGTGTTTTGAGTGCCCTGAAAACTTTAATTCCGAGTGTTCTGCTTCGTTAAATGTATTGTTGTGGGAAGCCTTTCTGGTCATCGGAGGCAAAAGATAACACTGCCGTGTCCTTCTCTCTTTGGCCACTAATTTAAAATTATTTCTGACTTAAACTGCAGTGTATTTAAACAGTTTATTTTCATGCCTGATACATTTGGATTGAAGCATATAAAAATGAAAGCAAACTGTGTGCATTAACTGTTGCTGGGAACACATTTGTTTCTTACTACAGAAAGAGCATTTTTATGAATATCTGACTGTGTTCTTTAGTCCAGCAGCAGTCAGTATAGGAGGGTTCTCAGTATCAGACTTGCTACTACAGAAAGCGTGCATGCTTTTATAACTTCTGAATCCGATGGAAGGAAGATAGCATTGCATTTCACCTGAGCAAAATCTAAATATTCTTTTGTGCTTTAAAATTAAAATTTATTGCAGTAATTCTATTGGAACTTTTTCATCATTGTGAAGCGTGCAATTTATCGGTACCTGTGAAAGATAAACCTGCGGAGTAGAAAGCAATCAGACTTTTTTTTTTTAGTAAGGGAGAATTAAGTAGTCATTGAATCTTCTATTAAGAAATTACCGCAAAACACAGTTTTACAAATTTCTCAGACTGCATAACAATGTCTCAAAACT